ACTTATGTCGCTAATTTTTGACATGTCAAAGATTTGCAATTAATTAAATAGTTGAAGAAAATCAAATAATTAATCACCAATGAAGAAAATCATTAGTTACAGCCCCAAATCTATCATTACACATATTACACCACAGCAGGAGGTGTGTATGCGTGTGAACATGCATCACATGCATTATTTCCTTTGGCAGGTAAACCCACAACAGCAGCTGCCCCCCTCAAAGAAAATTAATTCATCCCTAAACATCTCACGCGCATGCATTTGCAGCCTGGCAACAGTTAAGCGGCAAGCAGAGGACGCAAGAACTAGGAGGAAAGGAAATGAGGGAGATTAATTAATGGAGGAGTGAGTGAAATTAAGAGCACTCTGCCTCCTGCGGCTCTGACATTACCTCCAATACTCCACAATCCCCTGCCCTTCACTTAACACATTTGTTGAGATTTGGTGCACCGTATGAAAGTCTGTGCTCATGCTTCAGTTCAAATCCTCTGGCTGTTTGCAGTCAGGTGGCCAGCGGCCGCGTTTGCCAAGGCGCCAGGACGTAAACCTGCAGAGAACATGGTAGACCTGCTGAAAATGCTGTTTTACTCCTGCCTGTTGCCTCTGAAAAGGTGTTGCACAGCTGTTAAAACAAGTGAGCTTAGAGAGTGCTTGTCACAGTGGAGGTTAAAGCTTGTTTCCAAGGCTTGCAGTGCCTCTCACTGAGAATGTCTTGTTCCAAAGAGTTAAATTCATGCTGAGATAAAAGATAAATTGGAGGTTGACAGTAAATCGTAATCTTGAGAAAACTGCTGGTGGCTTCAAAGCACAAAATTATTCTAGTTTATGGCACTTTAGAGGGGATTTTTACTACCTTTTCACCCATAATTTGCAAGCCAAAAAGCCTTTAGATCGATGTTAAGTTTTTTAAACCCCGACTATTTGCATAGTTTGTATATAAATGATAGTCACTCCATTCCATCCCTCATTGGTTGATGAAATCCCATTATGAATTCTCAGGACCAGACTTCTTGAATGTACTTTCAAATGTACATTAACTGAAAAATAAGAAGGTTACATGAAAAATACCCCGTAAGGCACCACTCAGGCAGTAAAAAGAGACCCTTTACAAACTGCCGCCACCAGGTGGCGATACCTGTAGATTGAGTAAAAAATTATTCCTATTTTGAACATCTTTTTCATGTCACATTTCAAAATGGCATGAAACCACATTGGCTATCATCTTGTCAATCCCACGTCGGTAGCTAATGGGTGCCAGACCCGTCCCTCCTCATCACATCCATTTTTTGCAACCAAGATGGCGAAACAGAAACCCTCATATCAAGGATGTTACGAAGGAGAAAATTAACTATTGACGTGAAAACTGTCTTTTGAAACAGCCTGTGAACATGTTTATTTTAACACGAGAGTTTATTAGCGCTTTTGAAGCCAGCCTCGAGTGGACACTCGAGGAAGTGGATACTTTCAGGCACTTCTGCGTTGCCCTCATTTTCTAGCCCCGGGCGTTGTTGCCTGGTTACGAGACTATTACTCCCCATCCATTATTGTGACTTAAATATGAAGCTTTAAATTGTCAGATGTATGAACACATCTAAACACACACAATTCTATATTCTACTTAATTTAGATTGGTACAGACTTGTTATAGATGCACAGAGCACAGGGATGCTGTTGAGTATCACCACGGAGAAAAGAGGTGGTGAGAAAGGTGTCATGAACGCATCACCTATCAGAAACGGGTGTTGTGGTGTTGTGCAGCTGACAAACCCAGCGGTTCCGGTTGAGACTGGTTTGATGTACTTGCTGTCAATTTAACACAGAGGGAGTGTTGCCTGTCACCTCCCTGCTTTCCCTGCCTGAATATATCATATCCTCTCCATCAAAATCAACAGTGTAAGAATCAATCTGTCACACAGGAGGACATGCGCGCTTCGGCTTATAGACAGACAGACCAACTGGAATTGAGGGTCGGAATAGAAAATGGAGGAAAAGAAATGACAGTTGAGGTGAAAGAATGACAGAGAAAGGAGGGGCAGTGATTACTGAAAGACAGCTGAGGAATGATAGCAGAGGTCGGGGAGGAATTTATGTGAAAAGGGAGAAAAAGAAAATGAGATGCGCAGTGAGCAAACAGTCACTCAGGGCTAGACATCGGCAGCAAAGAGGAGCTGTCAGAAGATGCTATCATACAGGGAGAGATCTGCGAAAATACAACAGTGCCAACGATACTTTAAAATGTAGCAGAGGAAGAAGTCGACAAGAGGGAGATTAAGAGACTGAGTAAGAGACTGAAAGGTCAGAGGAACCCGGTGGATGATTCATGGAGTTCAGCCTATCTAACTTCTGCCTAAGGGTTTCACACAGCCTGTCAACCACTCCTCTCTCCTACTGCTTCATCTACAGCTTCTCTAACGTGCACACACACTGTGCGCCAATAATTGTTAGATACAAGTACACACTGGTAGGATGAAGCAGGGAGAAGCCATAATCAGTATTTTTCTTCATATCTCTGAATCAGTGACAAGTAACAAGTGGCATTTAGTTTTTAGCCTGTTTTAGGTTATTGTTTTTACTTTAGTGCACATTTGCACCTTGACTCTGAGCAAGAATAAAAGCTCATCAGCAACTAAATACATCTGCTGAATCCTAATGTTGCCACCTATGATAGACTATTTGTTAACAACTTTTATTGATAGTTGTGAGATGTTTTCTTTTGCCCTCTAGTGGACATGTAAGAAAATCTTGAATAGAATAAGCTTGAATAGAGTTTGTGTGATTTTTGGGAAGAAAAATAAGCCAAAGTATTTGGAAATGACTTATTACTGGCCTCTTACATAACTTTCAACAGTCCAAAACCCAGACGTGTTCAGTTTACAATGACATTACAAACAATCCAGTCATTTGTTTCACTCGATCGATCAACCACCATTCGTGGAGTGTTTCTGACACACCCTCGCCAGTTTGGTGTTGATGTTTTTGACCACTGCTGCCCAGTCTTTACCAGCTGCCTCTATTAATATTCAACAAGCTGTCACATACAGATGCGACAGCCAAGCTGGTAAGCCTCACCTTTCCCACCGTCATGTCAGCTGTCTTGAACAGGGAGCCTGATAAGGAGGTAGGAAGCAACGGAGGCGTTTGATGGAAGGCTTGAGATGAGGAGGCGGAGGGAGAGGGGAGGAGGCGGCTGTCTGTATGTCAGGGGAGAAAACATCTCCTCCGCCCTTTGCACCGCAAGAGTGGGGTGGATACGGCCGTTTGCGCCTCCGACCCCAACTCATGGCGCAGATGCCGGCGGTGCCAAAAATAAAGTGCATTAAAACTGGCAGCCAAAGCCTGTTAAGTGATCACCATGACAACAGGCGGAAGGCGCACGGAGACGACATCTTCGCTACAATCCTCCCCCCCTGCCCTAAGAGGCTACACTGCTGGACTGCTCGCTTTCTGTCAGCTGGGCTTTCTCTGCGTCTCTGCTGTCGTTTATGTGCTCCTTCTCCTTTCATCCTCCTTCTCCCCTGATAAGTCTCCTGGGAGCTCTTTAAGCTAACAGGCAGTGTTTAGTCTGTTTTTATGCTTCCTTGTTTTACATTTTAATTTCACTCTTCTCTGAATCGCTCCTCTTTTTCTTCCCCCCTCCTCCCCTCCCACCTGTTGTTTTTCTCACTGTGCATTTTAACTTGTTTGTGCACACACACATCTCATCTTAAATCTCCTTATCTCACCTATATTGGTCCCAATGCTGTGTGCTGTAATCCCAAAGAGCACTGCCCTAATGAGACCTCCTCCACCTTTGCTCTCCTTTCCCTTTCTCCACCCTGCTCCTTATCGCATGGCGTCATTGTAATCTTCAGGATAACTTTGAGAGCTATGCATACACTAGTGCGTGCACAGAGTGAGGTCATGCATGAGCATCCCGATACAGATCTTAGCAGCAAACCTAGATAAGAAACGTGATGTCGTGAAGTCACAGGGAAACATCCGCAGGGGATCTTGTTGTCGGGGTGAATATGGTGACCTGTGCAGTGTTGCGATGCTGTTTCTTAGCAAGGAGCAGTTTTGCTTCTTCTAAAGTCTCTCCGTCCACAGGCCAGCATCTGAGGGAAGCATGAATATTGATGCTCCTCACTTGTTAACATTGTATGAAGCAGGGGCTGGTAATTGTCTGTCTTCGAAGCGCGACACGTCCTCTTCAGTGGGATGTGTGAGAAGGTCGATCCCGCTGGGGAGTTCGGCTTCTCTTGACTCATTTTACTTCAAGTGAGAAAAGTAGCGAGTAAGGAGAGGAGAAAGAGCCAAGCGGCGACAGAAACCCGAGTTACGACACGCACTTTGTCAAGTGTGCCGAAGTGCAGCTGCGAGTCGCTTCCGAGTTTGTTTCAGGCTTGTAGCGTTTTCTCCAATGCTCTTCATTTCAATGATGCATTGCTCTTATGAGGCATTTCTAAAGGTGTCCTCACAGTGTTTCTCTTTTCTTCTTCTTTTTTTTCACCCCTGTTCCACAGCAGCTGGTTCCACTCACACTGCCGTTTTTTAACTGGTAAAAGAGAACGACCAAAGTGTGCGTGTCAGTATGCACACAGGGGAATTTGTTCCCCTTCATATGATTGTGTGAAACTCTGTCTGCTTGCATTCGCCTATCTGTGTCAGTGTATGTAAATGTTTCTGTGTGCGTTTGAGAGCCAGACCCAGAGGATTCCTGCAAGTGAGCCCGTCTTCTAATCCAGTCTTGAGTAGGCGCATTGATTTATTGAGCAACTTTTGTTAGTTCGGAGAAGCCCCGCTTCCTGCTACATCCTAATCAGCACACACAAGTGCACACATGCATACACACAGCAGATGATTGTTATCTGAGTGTTGATTAACTGAGTGAAGACTGCAATTTAGTGATAGTTACATTTTATATTTTATTTGGATTTCATCTTTCCTGATTTTGAAAGCTACTTTCTTAATACCTTTTCTGTTTAAAATAATCTTTCCTCTTCTTGAATGTATCTCTCCAGGTATTCGGCCTCAAATCATGAACGGGCCCATGCATCCCCGCCCGTTGGTGGCCCTGCTGGACGGGCGTGATTGCACCGTGGAGATGCCCATCCTTAAAGACTTAGCAACCGTTGCCTTCTGTGATGCTCAGTCCACGCAGGAGATCCACGAGAAGGTAGGAAGACGCACGCACCGTAGTTCACTTTCAGTGTCTTCCACATCGCAGCTGAACCTTGATGGAGAGACGGAATTTACCCGTCACTCATATCTCCCTCTTCCTTTTTCTATAGCGCTGATATGTGAAGTGCGTTATATTGGCCTCATACACACCTGCCAGTTAAAATATAGTGGCTTCATTATGATTTAATGTCACTTTGTAGCACTGACTGTAACGCCTATATCAGTGCCATTGTTCTAATAGAGAATCTCGTACAGCGGGGATGCGGTGTAATTACATTGGCTTGTAGAGGCTCTTTATTGCTTTTTATGCAGCGCCGTGGTTACAAAACAATATATGGCCACAGAAATGGGTATCACCCAAGTGCTATCTCTTCATCTGCAGACAGAGTGAGGGCTGCTATATCTTCCATCGCGCTGTTTTTATGAAAATGGGACATATTAAAAAAGAAGCATTTGCATAGAGATCAATTCAATCAAAGACCTTGGGCGGTGAGGAGAAGGGGGGAAAGTGGGTAGCTTTTTGTTTGTTTTAACACTGCCTTATCAGGAAAAACATGATTGTAATGTTCACCTCGCAAGCATATTCAGCAGTTTGCAATAATAACTTGCAGTCTAGATACCCAGAGGGGCGGTATAGATTGAAAATGTCCAATCTCTGCTTTCTGCAGCATGGATGCGAAGATGCAGTGTTGATAACTCTGGGAGTTTCAGTTCAATGTTGTCAGGGCGGACAGCAGCTGCCACACTCCCGTACATATACACTAGACAACAATAAAAAAAAAAATAAATCTTATGGAAAAGATTGGCCGAGGATTGAATATGAAAGTTGCCTAAGGTTATGTGAAGTCTTCTACCTGGTAATCCTCTTTTTTCTCAAGTGATAGGGATACAATAAAGCACACAGGCAAATACCAATCAAGATCAAGTTACAATACCACTTCAGTGAGACCAAATCCTGTATGCAGCACCTGCGCTCCAGCATCATAATCCAAGGTCTCTGATCCCTCGTCTTTGTCACAGTCGTCGCGCCTCATAACCACATGTGGCTTGTAAAAGTTGGATGAGAGCCCATATGGCAGGGAGTCAATATTGGCCTATTACTTTGTGCGCCGCCTGACTGTGATCATCCAAAAGAGGTGTTAAGCTTGGGGCTTGCAGCTAATGACTCTTAATGTAACTAAAAGATGATAGATGGAAAAATTATGATACTGTGTTCAGTTAACAGTTCAATCTCTAAAATGCAGGGGGGGGGGGGGAGCCATACATTGCGTGTTGTCGTCTCGCGTCATTAGTTAAACTGTGAATAGAAAGTCTTCACAATATCAGCAAATGTTTACTATTTTCCATTTATAAGAAACAATAAATTTTCAAAGCAGTAAATCCTTTAATAAACCCTAAATGGGGTTATATAGATATTTATAGCACTTTTCTGTTGTTAAAGTACTTCACCCATTCACATTCACATATTAAATGCTGTGCTTTATCTGTTACACACACACACAAGGATGAATGGGGGCATTTAGGAGGTTCAGGCTCTTGCACGAAAACAGTTTAAGGTGCATACTGGAGGAACCAGGTGTCAGACTAGTTTAGTGGACATACTGGTTAACATCTGTTTATTCTTTGGCACTAAGACATAACTTTTTTTGCTTTCTTGCTGCTATTTCACTATTTAGGTGGGGGACTGGGGTAAATGTGCAAGAAGCCACGTTGCTTTAGATAAGCACTGAGGCTGCAACCAGGAAAACTGGTAACCTCCCTCTGACCTAAGCGGCTGGACCTGGCATGTAGTCTTCTGTAAAATCAGCACATCTCGTGTGGACGGATTTGTTTTAGAAGTATTGAAAGATTTTGTGGAATCGATGCACTGCTAAAGTGGATTTTGAAGGTACAATGGCCAGTGGGGTCAGAGCTTGTTGTGTTATGACATATTTCACAGTATTTTGTGACGCTGTCCTGCAAAATGCTAAGCCACCTTCGTTGTAAGAAGTTTTAAGTAGTCTGTAGTTTTATGAAGCAACAGTTTGAGCAGCACAACATCCCTGCGGATCACTCACGGGATGACTTCATTGCCATAAAGTCCCCCTCCTAGAAGCTAGGAGTGTGCACTACAGTGTGCACATCACCAAATCAAAACTCCCTTGAAACAGTCTATCTTTTGCTCAGCCAGGCTAAATGTGAAGCACGGGCTTTGTGCCTTGTCAGAAAAGTCCAGGCGTCATAAGAAATGATAGATCCTTAAAGCGATAAGGGTTTGGTTACAGTGGAGAGGGGGATGTAGCTGAGGTCAGAGTTTCCATTAACATCAACTACAATCAGGCTAGAAGATTCCTTCCCCCAGCTCAAAAACAACACAAGACCTTCAGGATCAGCGCAGAGGGAGACAATTATGTATGTGTGCATTTTGGCCAGTCGCGCATGTGCGTGTAAGGAGTGTTTTAACCTTGAACTAATATCTGGAAGGCCTGTCCAGGACACTGCTCTAATAAAAGCAGTATGGAAATTCAGAGCTAATCTACTAATCACAGGAAAGCTAATGCAGCTTGGCTGGAGGTGAATGTAGAGCTGTTATTTAGGCGCTGACAGGGGCCGGGGCTGATACGGAAGGGGAATAGTTTAGATCCACATCACAGGCCAGGTCACCTTGTCCACGTTAAGTGGCAGAGGAGCAGCATGAGCAGCATTTCACAGTGATTGTCCCCCCCCCCGTCCAAGGTGACAGAATTCAGACTTTTTTGGGAAATGTTTCACTTGGTACATCTTAAGATTGTTTTTATTTATTCTTTTTTATTTAACTTGAATGGATTGTCTTTGGGTAGGTAGATTCAACAACGCCACCATGTGGTTGTTTAAAAGCACAGTTAGTTTTGACCTTTACCTGCTTTAAAATAAGTAACAACCACTTTCACTTACACTTAGCTGACATGCATCTTTAAGCTGGAGTTTGCGCAGCCTAAAATTTTACTCAATGCATGAGTACAGCAGGTAAGAACATTTGGAAGAAATAACCACAAGCTACTAGTCTTGATGCATTCTCAATCATCCAAGTAAGTAAATCTCCAAAAGTTGATTCTGTTCATCTTCTCCCACTGAAAACGCTACATCCAGATGAATAGAATCAACTTTTGGAGACACAAGCTACTAGGGCAAATGCGGGATACATTCCCAGGAATCGGGAAATTTTGAAGCCTGAAATACAGAGCGGTACAGTCTGGGTAGTAAATTAGTTACTTTCTTTGTAATGGGGCTATTTTAATTCTATTATTCTATTTAATTTATAAGGCTTATCCTGCAATCAGTACCTCTCTATCCAGTCACTTATCCAGATCTTGTGTCCGTAAACGCTCTTGGTGCAATTGTGAATACCGTGCAGAACTGAGCCCCCGCAAAACAATATAATGACTGTTTCTACTTCCAGTGCAGGTCTGTTAAATGGACAATGTGTCAGTGTTGCTCGCGGCCATGTGATGTCTGTAGTTCCCCCTCGATGTGAAATCTATAATGTTCACAAATGTCGGAAGTCACGGCAGGCGTGTGATTTTCACAGCATCTCTGAAAGGAATGCGACAGTGTGATTGTCATGAGCTCTTGTATCCCCAAGTGGATTTAATAGCCGTGTTTTGCATGAGCAAACGAGTAAACTGGCCAACGGAAGACACAGATTAAGGAGGGAAAAGCATTTCATTCAGTTGTGTCATGCAAAATTTTATGAATACATGTGTCTGCAGGTGCTTAATGAGGCAGTGGGTGCCATGATGTACCACACCATCACCCTGACCAGAGAGGACCTGGAAAAGTTCAAAGCTCTACGCATCATCATCCGCATCGGCAGCGGCTACGACAACATTGACATAAAGGCTGCTGGAGAGCTGGGTATGAACTCTTTAAATAGCGGCTACTAAATCATAATCATTTTCTTCTCCACATCTGTGCTCGTGTAACAGCCTCTTTTTCTACATCTGAGCAAAGCTCTAATGTGTTTTGTGCTCCTTTGATACGACTATCCCGCGTCGCATTGATTTCTTGTGAGGGAGCAGGTCTGCTGATTTGCTTGTTTGATCGTTTGTTTGCCTGTTAATGACAAACGATACCTCAGGTGCCTGTAATCAGATTTAGGTGAATCTTGAAGGGAAGATTCATCACATCGCAGCGTTAAAATTGGACTGACCATCTAAAAGAAAAGCAGCGATGAAATAGAGCTAATAGTCGTTGTCCCTAAAGCGGACTACTTCGAATACCACGTATACCGTTTCCTTGTTTTTACTGTATGGATTTTTTCTGAATAGTATCAAAGGCTGAATAAATAGTCAGATGAAGTGCAGACATCCCGCTGTGAGCCAGAATGTTCAAAGAGACAGAGTAAAAGACACACGGGGAAGGAGAAGAGTTCAGTTTTCTCCCTGAAACACCACCCAGGCTTATATCAGCAGGCTGGTGGCTCAAAAAGCTCTTACAGTTGACAAAGCTGCCATTTCCCTGCCAATATGAGATACTGTGTCTAACTGCCACCCACTCACCGAAGGCGCTCTGCCTTGCAACACAGGAGTCAAAAGCTATCGTGCCTGGAGAAGGCGGCGCTGATATGACGGCTGTTCTCGGGGAGAAGAAAAAAGGGGCCATTGATTGAGCAGGCTCGGTCTATTTTTTGCTGTCTAGAGACGACTGCGCTGTTATTCCGAGATACAGAGTGAGATGAGGACATTAGGAGGAGAATGAGGGCAGGCAGAAGTGCTTAAGTGTTAGAACAGAGAAAAAAAAGTAGTCTGTGTTGTTGGAGGAAACGGCAAGGTAATACCACAAGGTCAGGCCTGTATATCGGCTGAAAGGAACAAAATTATGAACACTGCACTGGATAAGATCTTGACTTTACATATTTACGTGTGTATCTTCATATTATTATTGACGTTTAGCAGGTGATGTTTGGAATACTGATTACGTTGCCCAAATATAGACCTAATTAAAGATAACCCAAGTTATTAAGGGATCAGTTCACACCATTATCAACTTTTCATGTTTTTCCTCTGGCCTGTCGCGGGGGCAGCAGCCTAAGCAAAGAGGCCCAGACCTCCCTCTCCCCAGCCACCTCCTCCAGCTTATCCGGGGGAATACCAAGGCGTTCCCAGGCCAGCCGAGAGATATAATCTCTCCAGCGTGTCCTGGGTCTGCCCCGGGGCCTCCTCCCGGTGGGACATGCCTGGAACACCTCACCCAGGAGGCGCCCAGGGGGCATCCTTGTCGGATGCCCGAACCACCTCAGCTGGCTCCTTTCGATGTGGAGGAGCAGCGGCTCTACTCTGAGCCCCTCCCGGATGGCCAAACTTCTCACCCTATCTCTAAGGGAGAGGCCAGCCACCCTTCGGAGGAAGCTCATTTCTGCCGCTTATATCCGCGATCTCGTTCTTTCGGTCACTACCCACAGCTCGTGGCCATAGGTGAGGGTAGGGACGTAGATCGACCGGTAAATTGAGAGCTTCGCTTTTACACTCAGCTCCCTCTTCACCACGACGGACCGGTGCAGTGTCCGCATTATTGCAGCTGCAGCCCCAATCCGTCTGTCGATCTCCGGCTCCCTTCTCCCATCACTCGCGAACAAGACCCCGAGATACTTGAACTCCTCCACTTGGGGCAGGAACTCATCCCCGACCCAGAAGATCTACAGAAGATATCACCCCTATATGGGTAAATATAATAAAATATACTTTTGGACCAAAAGCTTCCTTTGAAGTTTTTATAATATATGACCTGTGTTATAGTACATAATATCCATTCACGTATCCATCATCTTCTACTTGTCTAAAGTGAGGTTAGGGGTGGCAGCTGCCTAAGCAGAGTATTCTAGTCGTCCTTATCTCCAGCAACACGTTTCAGTTACTCCTGTGGGATCCTGAGATTCCCAGACTAGGCTAGATGTATAATCTCTCTAGCAGGTTCTGTATGTCCAAGGTCCTCACTCTATCTCCAAGACTGATCCCAGCCACCCTACAAAAGAAACTATTTTCATCTGCTTTTATTCGTGACCTTACTCTTTTGGTCATGACCCAGATCTCATGACCGTAAGCGAGTGTTGGAATGTAGACTGACTGGTACATGAAAAACATCAATCCGGCACACCAAATCCACCGGTCTGTTTCATCCTCGGCTGCAATGCGTGCTGGAGGTCACGCTCCAATGAAGCCGACATATTCTGATGTCATTTTCACACTCCCTTGAGATGCTGACCATGAATATCAGAAATCATAGTGACCCATGTTGGTTTTTTCGCCCTGGACAATAAAATCTCCCTCTGTACTCATATTTCACGTGTCACATACGTCTTTAATGTGCTTTTCAACCCTTCTGCCTTGTGTGTGTTTACTGTTCTATCTTTAGGCATTGCCGTGTGCAACATTCCCTCGGCAGCTGTGGAGGAGACGGCAGACTCGACCTTGTGCCACATCCTCAACCTTTACCGGCGGAACACCTGGCTCTACCAGGCTCTGCGGGAGGGCACGCGAGTCCAGAGCGTGGAGCAAATCCGGGAGGTGGCATCCGGTGCCGCCCGCATACGTGGCGAAACCCTGGGTCTCATCGGTTTTGGTGAATATTCAGTTATTCGCTTTCCTCTTTTAGCCTTTTTCTGGCTCCTTCTCTTGCTTTTTCCTCTTATTTTTATCATGTTTTTTTTAAATTTACTCCCCCTTCCGTTGCTTCCACTTTTGTGCTTTCATATCCTCTCACCACTCAGTGTGCCTTCTGTTTTCCTGCTCTGATAAGGTTATTTTTCACCCTCTACCCGTCCCACAGATTATCTCAAGGTTGTCTGTTTCGCCTCCCTGCGGGCTGACTTCCTCTCTCTGCCTCACTGTTCTCATCCCACTGCTTTAATGCTCACCATTATATCTCTATTATACTCTCTTCTTCTGTTTTCAACTCTTCTTCTCTGTCACCACGGTCCCTCGACATCTTGCCCTGCCATGATCAGGCCTCATGGCAGACTAGATTCTTCCTCTGTGTGTTTGTGTGTGTGTGTTCTGACTTGATTCCCTCTCTGCACCTGTTTTAGTGGTGATTGTGTGTGTTTGTGCGTCACTCTGCCCTGTCACAACATCACCGGGCCGACAGATGCTCTGTCTTCTCACAAGCCTTTCCTGAGTGCCACCTTATCTCTCTGTCCACATACACCCCCCCCCCCACACACACACAAACACACAACCTCCTTCCTCCTCTACAGGTCCCAGACAGCTGCCTGGACTAACTGTGCCTGAACAGCGGGTCCTGGCAGGGAAGATTTCTCCCCCCTGTCTCTCCCTTCCTCATCCAGTCCTCCCATTTCCAGCCTCCTTTGCTGGTCTTTCTGGCTCAAGCTGTCTCCAAAACAATATCCATTGTCAGTGGGAGGTTGGGGACATCGAAGACCTCTTGGCGTTGGTTTCTAGGACTCTGCATATTCAGCCAGCTGCACAACTGTCAGCAAATACACAGACTGAAAAAAAAACCCTCTAGCTCTGGGGTGACAGTAGACTCGAGGACTTGAAGTACCAAACAACCAACCATTTGATCTTCTTCTCAAAAATAAGTTCAAGCCTTTTAGTTGTGAATTATTCTGTTATTTCTCATATGTAAATGTAACCAAGTAGCTGTGGTCTGCCTATCTACCTCCAGTAAATATCCAGGATAATCCTATCAACTAAATTTGATCTGATAAAAAACTCATTTTCAACTTTGGAATTTGGGGAATATGTTAGTCTGGGAAGAGACATCTAAGATACCTTTAATCAGCATTTTTATATGAATGAAGGCTTAAATGATCATCAGGGTTCAGTGTGATAAGCTTGAAATGCCATTTTAGTTACTAAATGCAAAACAACATTTTTAACACATTATATTCCCCTAAAAATGATATTTTTAAATGTTGCATCTTATACTAAAAGTGATTGCAGACAAGTATAATTACTTTCTCTTGAAACGTCTCAAAGCAAATTCAAAACAAAGAAAATTCCACTTGCATATTTAGCATTTCCAGTTGGTCAAATCAAATTAGCCGTGCAAAGACAGTGTTGATACTGCAGCAGATGCAGATGAGGACCGATGAAAAAATGTTGGAATTCATTACCCAAGTCTAATCCTTCCCACATATTTCTGCAACATTAGCCGATTATGTGTCAAGGAAACATAAAAACTGAATATCCAACCGCCAAAGTTATGCTTCCATGTTTTAAGAGACACAATCGCAAGGTAAATAAGGACTTTTTGACAGCCTCTGGTAATTGCACATTTTTCTATGCTAACTGTACTCACTTAAATTTTTAATTAACAGAATCCCATTACATCCATCTTGAAGTTGCTCACAGTGAAAAGTCTAATCACTCAAACCAGTTTATTTGAGTGATTAGGTTTAGTTCACTCTCACCACTATGATCAGTATCATCTCCACATGAAGCAGGCAGCTGTTTTCAGACGATTGCGCACTACCCGCCTGCGCCAAATTGCACACAGACACAACTGACAAGTATTTGAAAGCTAAAGAGAACAAATAACCGTATTGCACGTTATTGGATTTTGCACTTGTTGCATCTCTTTGCAGAATATGGAAAATATCTCCAGTGATATTGTGATGTCGCCTGGTTCCTTTTGTAAAAACAGAGATAATCTGCCTGCTGTGCACAAGGACTTTTGAAACAATGTTTTTTTAAAAAAAAACGTTGACCTCTTGGCCAATTGCCACCATGTTTGCCTCTTCACTGTTGGGTGAGACAGGGCTGATTTCAAGAATTGGTGCTTCAGCCTCGTGTTTTACTGCAGAATCTGAAACCTTTGTCAGCAGAAAAATTTGCAATGCAAAGCAAACATCTGCTGCCGAGTCGAGAGTGAAATGACAGAGATCAAAATGTTCAGATCCACCTGAGTGGGTGGCAGACCCCCTGGTTTTCGTTGCATGTGGCATTGATAAGTGTGGGACGGGAGGGCGAGGCTTAGAAATAGAGACGACAGAGGAGCTGACATATTAAAGGAAAAATCCGCACAAAAAAAATACAAATTCTTTTTTTCCCAGTGCAACAAAGTTAGAGGTATTTTTAGATGCCAAAAACTTCAGCTGTTAACTGATCTCATTGTAAATCAAGATTGTGTAGATCTAGTTTCTCTTTAAACCCAGTTCTTTGCAGACATTTTCCAACAATCAGAGAGGCAGAAGAAATCATTGCAGAAGAAGTGATGATCCAACTTTCCACAGCGGCTCCAAAAGGTTTAGTAAATCACATCGTACTGCAGCTGCAGGATGACCTGGTCTGTTTCAAACTGACAAGAAAAATCTTTTTAAAAAATTGATTCCTTTACTGCTGCTGTCTGCATCGCTTTTTTAGCTTGCACTTACAGCAGCTCACACCCACGCTCTGTGTTGTGTCAAACGTGGCCTGTGAAAATTAGGAAAAGTAACGTTAGCAGAAAGAAATGGACAGATGAATCACTCGAAGAAAAGTAAAGTGCGCAACTGTGATCATCGCAAAATTTGTAGTTTTATTGTGCGATAGCTGCAGCTATATCTGGGTCTTTAGCATTGCACGTCTCTTATCGGCTGACATTGAAGGAGAAGAAGAGAAGGAGTGATTCTCTTCAGCTGTGGAGTGTAAGAGCAGGATATAATGCTCGATCACAAAGAGGGGACCTTGAGAGTGTAAAGGACCTTATCGATCCTTTTTACGAGCAGCAACATCCACCTCTCCATTACTCTGTCCCTCTCTCTCTCTCAGCTGCTGCTGCAGAGCAGAAACTGGCGTCTCCAGCCAACAGAGTGGAGACTCGCATCCTACACAACAAATGGCTGTGAGAGACAGAGGGAGAGGCTCGAATGCTGCACATTCAGTTTCTGATTCACTGTCTCACAACTTCACCTCACATTGGGCCTCATTCACAAACAGTGTGTTTGCACAAACGTGTGCCTAATCAGCACAAACAAATGTTTTACTCACAAATCCGGGATCCATCCGTGTTTTCGTGCCTGAAGTGGTTGGTGCACGGCAAACGAACGTAGACCTGCCTCAGACTTAGAAAATATAAACATACATGTTTTAACTAAATGCTTAGCAGGTTAAAACTGACTTAAAACACTTAAAAAACCTTTAATTTATTAAGGCAGTGGCCAATTACATAAAATAAACACAAATCCGTTGCCTTTCATCCTTGCTGGACGTCATCGCCGTCACCTCGCCACTGTTTCAACAATGTCCTACTTACGGATGTTTGTATAATCTGGTCGGTTATTCCTTTTTCCATAAACTTGTATCTTAAGCTTTTTTCTTATATCTAAGTCACGGTCTGTGCGTCAAGGATTCAGTATTTACCGCTTCAGTGATTGCAACCCGAGTCTCTTGGTGTGTCTTTCCAGTTTCCACCTTAGACATTATGTTTCCTCAGTCCACAACTTTTTTTTGCTTAAGTGACCTTTTTTCTCTTAGAACAGCTTCACAGCTTTCTCTGTGATCCGCCTCTAGGCAAACACGTTTCCTTATATAGAGAAAAATGGGGCCACGGAAGTATGCTGACTGCAAGTAACGTGCGTGCACCTGCTGATTTACAGTGATTCTCTAACGTGCACACGATAGTAAGAGTAAAATTGGCTGCTTTTGCACGATCCACAAACCTGACTTTTGTTTGAGTGCTTATTTTGTGCACAAATTAAAAAGCACACACGGTGAATGAGGCCCTTTGTTTGTTTGTTCTTGTTGTTTTTTAATTTTTTCATCATAGCTCCTTGTCTTCATCGTAAGCCTTTTTTCCCTTAGTGATATTAAAAGTAGCCTTTTTCACAACTTTAATATAATAAAGCCGACATGAAAAGGCTGTTGCAACATGAAAGATGTTCAAGTGACATCCTGTTACTATTAGAAGAATGAAAGGTTTATTTTTTGTGAAGTTTTTTTTAGACATTGGCTTCTTTTTCGCTCATTTTCAGGTCAGAACTTGTACTTGATTATTTTCTCTTTTTTTATCGTTCAAGCATAAAAAAGCACTCAAATCAGGGGATGAGCCAGTGCTCAATTTAGCAAAGAACTCATTTTAAATTGTATCTTTAGGCAGTTTGTCAATAGTATTCTATCACAATAATAAAACCTATTCCCCCCTTTTTTTGGATTGGCAAGGTGGTTTCTGAAGAGCTATAAGACAAAAACTTATATCTCTGCATTGTTTGCAGTGTGTCGTCAAAGGGTTAGAGTGGTGGATGGCTGTGGCTTAGAAGGTTGTGGAGTTCCCATACTAATTGGAAGATTCATGGTTCAATCCCTGGTCCTCCTCTGCATAATGATATTGTGAGTGCAAGATACTGAACCCAATGAGTTCACTGGAGTGTGAATGTTAGATAGAAAACACTGCGGACGCAATTCTACGTCCTACATCTTTTTGATACATGTCTACAAACTAGTAGATGGTCTAATACGTCTTGATGCATGCTCAATCATCCAAGTAAGTAAATCCCAATCTGGATGTAGTGTTTTCAGTGGGAGAAACATTTCGTCACTCATCCAAGTGACTTCTTCAGTCTCAGCTGACTGCAGGTTTCCCCAACCTTATAAACAGTGCATTGCACAATGACTGAAACTAACATCACTGAATGAACGATGGGCTGGGAGGTCAGTTCCTTGATCATTAATGTGCAAATTCTCATGACCATTGATCAACAACTGACCTCCCAGCCCATTGTTCAGTGGTGCTAGTTTCAGTCATCGTGCACTCACCCACTGAAAACGCTACATCCAGATGATCAGAATCAACCTTTTGGGATGGTCTCAATGGAAGGGGTGGTTGTCAAGAAGACTTAAGCAAGGGAAACAGAAAAGGCTGAGATATGACAAATTACACAAGAACTGGAAACAGGTCTTATGGTATGATGAACCAAGATGAACCAGTGGTGTTGGGGATCTTGTCAAAATTGATGGTATTATGAACACAGAAATGTACCGTCAAATTTTGGCTACTATGCAATACCATCTGGAAGGCATCTGAGCAGTTTAATTTTGTGACATGACAGTGATCCCGAAACACACTGCCAATTCAGTAAAAGCATACCTGGATAGAAAACACACACAAACCATGGAGCGGTCGGACCTCAACATTACTGAAGCAGTGTGGGATTATTTTGACAGCGAACAGAACAAAAGGCAGCCAACATCCAAAGAAGAGCTTTGAATGTCCTTTAAGAAGCCTGGAGAACTATTTCGGAAGACTACTTAAAGAGTTAATAGTTAACAAGACATGTAAATGATCAGTGAACTGGTATTTAACAGTGCAACTTTTGAACTTGCCTGGCTTTTTCTGGAGAAGACACGCTCTGTTAACGTACGAGAAATCCCTCTGTGTCTTTGAGCACGTTGACAAACTTTATAAACTCTTTGTTTGTGTCCCCAGGTCGTTCGGGCCAGGCGGTTGCAGTGCGAGCCAAGGTTTTCGGCTTCAACGTCATCTTCTACGACCCCTATCTGCAGGACGGCCTGGAGCGCTCGCTGGGCGTCCAGCGCGTCTACACCCTGCAGGACCTGCTCTACCAGAGCGACTGCGTCTCCCTGCACTGCAACCTGAACGAACACAACCATCACCTCATCAACGACTTCACCATCAAACAGGTGCATTACTCAAAACAAACACAGACACGCGTCGCCCGCACACGTGTCACCCAGACAGAGCTGAACATCCCATTGAACAGCTGTGACCTGATGTGGGCTTAATGCGGTGCTATCTAGCAGGTAGACAAGTCGAGATGCTGGTATATTATTACTCTGTCAGCCTAGTGTCTGTCCTAAAGAGCATTATATCTGGCAGAAAGAGAAAGCAGGAAGAAGAAAAAAAGGACTGGAAACAGCAGCAGCCTTCCTGCCTGTACATTCCCTGCTCTTTATCTTAAGCTCCACCAAAGCTGGACACAAATTCATTCCTTTGCTCTGTCAAATGCAATTAGTGCCAGCCCACGGCTACAGCAAATATATCGACTAGGCTGCACAGTGTGAGGGGAAAGTGCTGCTCTCTGAGTCAATAACTGCACTCTGAGGCACTGCCTGGGGTGACACCTGCAGGGCAGCTGAGGAACTGCACAAGCTGGGGACGCATCTTCCTTCTGTCAATATCACCCCGCACTGTGACACACTCTCTCTCTCTCTTTGTCTTGTCCCTCGCGCTCCATTCTTCCTGAGTTACAGTATGTGAGGAGATGAAGAGGAGTGGGTGTAGGGTAATAGCCTAACCCAGTTAACTCTGTGTCTTTTCCAAAGCACAAGATTCTCAGCTGCCTCTTAAGTGCTGCAATGAAAGAACACTTTTCTGTCTTTCCTCACCCAGAATTTGGCAGTGGCTCTTAGCGTTTAAAGTGGAAACGTGTGTGTGCATGTTTGTGTATTTTCTGTGTGTCAAAACCACCAAGGCCTAATAAAAGACTGCCTGCCAGCGTAAAGGCTTTTCATGCCCCTGGATTTCAGCTTTTGTCAACATTAAGGGATTACTTTCTTCTGAGCATATTCATTTGATTTTTTTCTTCTTCCTCCCTCATACACTTTTTGTTGTGCCTTATTTTCTCCCCCCCGGTAAGCAGCAAGGGGTGGCGGTGCTACTTCATCTTTCAGCTCATCCCTCGTCCTTCATTTCATCTCCTTGGTTTGAACAAAGCCTGCTCTATATCCCACATCTGACAGCATTTGTCCCAGTTGCCTTTCTGTCTCCTAGATCTTTCAGGTGTCAGGTGAAACAGAGATGTCACCATTTTATTCCTTCTTCTCAATTTATGTCCTGTTTAATATGTCTTAAGACATATAATCCAGATTGATGCTCTCTTTTAGATCAAACACATTCATTTGCCTGCCAGACTGGCATACACACAAAAGTCCATACATGAGCTGTAAAAAAGCTGGCTTCATCTGTGCCTAGTGTTGACTTGTTTGTGTTTGCATGCCTTTTGCACTACAGATGCGTCAGGGTGCATTCTTGGTCAATACTGCACGGGGAGGTCTGGTGGATGAGAAAGCTCTGGCCCAGGCGTTAAAGGAGGGAAGGATACGCGGAGCTGCCTTAGACGTCCATGAGACCGAGCCCTTCAGGTAAATGCACACATGTGCCAAATCCTGGACAGATATAGGCAAGCAAAGTGATGGGTGTGTAGGAAGGGAAAGACAAAGAAACAGAAAACCTTTAAGAGATAGACAGACAGGCAGGAACAATGGCAGATATAGTTATAATGAGATAAAAGAGAAATCATGTGCTTCTAAAAGGATCCTTCAGGGCCCTGTGTGTAATAGAATTGAGGAGATGGAGAGCTGGATTTATTCTTGTCAGAGCAAGTTAAAAACATTTAAAGGTACAAGTGTATGCTTGAGTTTGAATAGAGGTGCAAAAAGAGGTGAATAATCTCCATTTTTTGGTATCCAAACACAACGATAACCCAAGAAAAGACCATATTTATACAGGATTATTAAAACAGACCTTCTTGGACATTTTTCCTTACGCTTTATTCGTGAGAAAGTGCCGGGGGCAAAGTGGTGAAAGGCCAAAACTAGGTGAAAAGGCATCAGTAAGTGTGTCATAACATGCAATCAGCTAATTAAGAGTGAAAGTGTACAGCTTAATTTGAAGTATAATCAATAAATCTATAATTTCTTCATTTTGGCAAATGAATGAATGAGTTACAAGTACTGCTGAATTGATTTAATAACTATTCAAATGACATCTTGACACTTGTTGCTTTTGTTGTCAATTATAAACAAATTAATTCAGTTAAGTACTGGTGATATGAATAATTGGAAAATCTGGTAACAGCTTCATCATGAACTATACTGGTGACACTGGGTAACCAGTCTGAAATAATTGTAAATGAAATAATTTCAGATTTATTTCCCAAAGCTCACCTGTTCCCCTTATGATTTGACACCGTGTTTTAGCTTTGAGCTATGAACTGCTTTCATCAGAAGGCAAACAGCTTGGTACGCGTCCCACTTCTCCACCATCCTAAGATCCGTGTTTTCCGTCTCAGCGGGTAACTGGTGTTGTGTTGTTCACGCGTCGGGGGCAGTCAGAGAGTTTGGAGGCTGATTATTTCTGGACAGCTGCTCAGCTGAGTGGCTGCTCAAGAAGGCTGAAACTGAACCCGATGAATCTGGAACTCATGCTCCGCTAACCCAGCATGTCAACGGGGGAGCGTTTCATAACTTTGGACCTCCATCCCACGCGGCATGACACCGATTTCAGGACGCTGCTGACGCGTTGCAAAGCTTACACGCAGAGAACCAGGCTAGGTGTTACAAGGATGATGGAGGGGGAGGAGGGAGTTGATGCTGATCTGTTTTTGTGAGTCTCCTGAGAGGAAAGAGGCTGACAGAAAGGAAGTATCAAAGCAGCAGGAAGAGAAGATGGTGGCATCTGTGAATAACAGGATCTGACATTTTACCCCACTGGCCATATTTCCAGACAACTGTCATGTAAACTGTACACAAATAGTTTTTAAAGGAAAAGAAATAGTTACAGTATCAGATGGTTTTGATATACAAGAATATGTTTTGTCATTGGCCTCAAAATAAAAATAATTAATTCTACGTTTGTATTTCTTTATAAGTTAATTAGTGAAGCCCTCCACAACATCCGGTACAGCCTGTTATTGATGTTAGTTTTAATATAATTCTGTCATCATGTGCTTGTTGGAGAAAATGTGCATACTGTATTAATTTGACTGTGTGCTGTAGTTTTGCTCAGGGCCCACTGAAAGATGCTCCAAACCTGATCTGCACGCCACACACAGCCTGGTACAGCGAGCAGGCCTCACTGGAAATGAGGGAGGCCGCAGCTACCGAGATCCGAAGAGCCATCACCGGTAAGCCGCCGCGTTTCAATTTTGTTGTCCAACATCCATCGAAACTAAACATCCACGGCTTCATTATGGAGGCCCGCGCCTCGGTGCAGTCTCCCGCGTGACCTGTTGCACGTCTTTTCTTTCCCAGATGTCACATTTCCACTTCAATAGACCCTCGGCAGCCTTTATTAGATCTGGACCTCTTAATTGATGTTATCCTTAGCTTCACGACACAGAGTGGCTCTCGGGGGCTGGCCTTGCCGCCACCCTGGCCAAAAAAAAGAATTTAAAAAACTGATTGTTAAATGGTCCTAATTTGCATTTGTGTATCTAAGCCTGATATGTTTGTCAGTCTGAACTCATTAACACTTTGCATAGCCTGGCCGCTCATGCCCTGTAACAAGTCGTAGCCTTCGAGTGTGTTAGATTTATGCAGCTCTTTTAAGCTGAACGCGTGTCTCGTGACAGGCCGTATCCCTGACAGCCTACGAAACTGCGTCAACAAGGAGTTCTTTGTCACTACGGCACCGTGGGCGGTCATGGATCAGCCAGGCGTTCACCCTGAGCATAATGGCGCTGCCTACAGGTAAGGACTGAAAATACAGCCATTATTTTCATTTTAAGAACAACAGTTTTATCACCTGTGAGCTACACTAAAGTATCATAAACTAGAGCAATTTCCTTCGTTTGCTCTGCCTTTATACAGTTGTAAAAGATGTCTTGATAGATCGGTGGTTTTTATAGGTTAGTTCACCACTCCTGTAGAGCCTAGCATCTCATCCGCTAACGCTTCCCCTTAGCAGCAGAAATAAATTCTGTCCACATTGTCCCACTCTTCGCCATTCTTGATCTCAGCATTTCCACCTCCATGTGCTTCTTTCACGCAGCCAAGTGAACCAAACTCTTCCAGGCGTAACAACCGGCATCCCCCAAGACAAAATTAATGCCTAGATCAGGACCAGGTAAATACGATCATCTGGGGCCAACAGCCTCCGGTTGGAGGTCCTGGATATAAGACCCTCTCACCTCCTGAGCTCACCTGATGTGTGTCCCTCCTGTAGTTCCCCTTCAGCACTTACCTGTTTGAATGAACACAGAATAGAGATGGGTAGCAGTGAATGTGGGTTTTTGAGTGTCACAGAAAGCATGACATGAAACCACTGAGGTGCACTTCCATGGATGGAGTCATGCTTCGTGGTTTCCTTCTTATAGGTATTTGGGAATGTTCTTTCCAGCTATTTTCTCCTTCTCTGGTTGATGGATTTTACTCTGATTTCCACACCCATTTCCCCCCCTAACTAATGTGACATATTAGCTCTTTTCCACCAAACAGTCTCAGGAAGTCTGTGTTTCAGGAAGTATTAAGATAACTGCATAACTGCATTTTTTTTAAAACAAAAGAAAAATGATGGGAAAGAAAAATATGTGGCTCATTGATAAATAGAACATGTGCTGCTTCTTTCATGAGAGGATTGTGTTTTCTCCTTTTTATATCAAATTATGACCCAATCATCTTTAAATTAGGCACTAAAACTTTACGAGCTATGAGCAGATTATGTGCATTTATAGACCAAACAGTATCTTGCCTTTTTATTTTAATTACCATAATCTAAGCTGAAGAAACAAATCAATAAGCAAGGCAAGAAATACTTTCCAAAGTATGTTGATTAATGTAATCTCTATAAACAGGAAGATCGCCTGGAGAGTTCATGCTCCACCAATGCCCACGTCCTGTTTTAAGGAATGTGATCCAGATGTACGCCAAAGTTTAATGGATTCTTCTCTACCTCCGCTCCCTCGTTGCTTCTAGCTTTATGAAATTAAAGCCTGGTAGCTTCCGCAACTTGGTTCTGATCTTAGAGAAGTAATTAATGTCTTTTTTAAATTGTTTGATGTGTAAAAAGTTAGTAAACAGCAAAAACTCTTTTTGTCTGGCCATCTGTTGAGTCTCCCTCTCTTTCCCCATCTTGCACCTGTTTCATGTTTAGTCTAATCTGGCTGCATATTTTTCTGGACATATTAAAACGACAAGAAATTCCAATTTTATTCACATTAATTTGGACCTTTCTGAATCTGAAAATTCAGCCTGAAAGCTAAGTAACTCTTAAACACGTTCCTGAAAAGGTGGAAAAGAAGCAGCAGTTTCACTAGATGATGAGGTCTTTGCACAGAATCCTGTCTTTCACGGTTGTACGTGGGGGTTAGGCTCGTGTCGGCACCACTAACCTCTGACCTTTTCCCTCCCCAGATACCCGCCAGGTGTGGTTGGAGTGGCTCCGGGCGGCATCCCAGGGGCTTTAGAGGGCATGGTGCCTGGTGGGGTGCCCATCGCCCACACCTTGCCCTCTGGTACACACCCCTCCCAGGCCCCATCGCCCAACCAGCCCTCTAAACACGGCGACACTAGAGAGCACCTCACCGAGCAATAGCAGCAGAAAGGATACATACGGCAGCATCTCATCCGGCCTGTTGACACTCAGAAACAACCAATCAAAGCAACTGACCAACTGGGACCAAGAGACAGTGAAACGACACAAGCGGCTGCCTGCTAAAAATCCAGCCAGCAACTGGGAACAAAAGAAGTGTTCCGGGAAATTTGTACTTTTAACCCTTTTAGTTTTTACTCTCTGTCTCTTTGGGTTCAGTTACCGACTTTACTCTTTGATGATGATGTATTTTTGTCTTTCTTTGGGACATGCCTATGATTGTGGACACAGAGTCCAGTGTTTTTAGTGCTCCGGGATTACCCGATGAGACTCTGTTCAGCTTCCCCCACCGTACCACCCACCTCAGAGCTCATGGGAAATGTAAGCCCACTTCTAAACACACCAACTGAACAAGAGAAAAAAAAAAAAAAAAAAGAAAAACCTTTGGCATCATACGTTACTGGATCGTATGACCCCTGACAGCGCTCCTAATCTTCCCCGCCTCTTCTTCACCCAGCTCCAATCCTCATTGTGTAACAAGTGTGTGTTATTTAGGCCCCCAATTATGCCTCAGAAGAGAATTATTATTAATATCGTTTTTCTTTTTATCATCAGTGTGAATGACTAAAAATGGATTATCAGCTTATATATATTTATCAAATTAAAGAAAAAGATTGTTCATCAATTATAGTAATCAAAAGTGGGCTTTAACCCTTTCCTGGCAGTGGTACATTTGACACCTGTCACAGCTGGAGTTCCAGCTTTTCACCACTAGAGGGCACTTGTACACAGTGTGAGAATTTTTGAGTTTTAAGTGTCTCCAACTTACTACTTTTTAAAGCAGTTGGTGATTAACGTAAAGCCATTCATTAAACACGTAACTGCAGCTGAAGCTTTTGAAAAGAAGTTATTTTGTACTTTTAGTTCCTAAAAGCTCAGCGATGCATCCAGTTCTCTCCAGAGAAGCGTCTGATGGCTAACTAATCATAATGGCAGTCTTGTTAGACATGGTGACCCAGTCCCTTCTGTGAGCACATTTCACACTGAAGACAGGAAAGGGTTAAATTCAGCATGGTTTCTTAATGACTCAGGAATAACACTTTTTTTTTTGCAGATATTGTTTCTCCTCCCGCCCCTCCCCCCCGCAAAATAATTGTCTATAAAAGGAAAAAAAGAAAACACAAAGACTGATCTGGTTCGTCTGAATATTGAATATTTCTCTCCATCATCCTCTCCATCGTGGTATTTTTATAAAAAGGACACATTCACACATTTTTTTGGTGTTAAAGAGTTTTGAGGAGTCCTGTTAGATTCGTATTGCCTAGTTAAATGTTCCTATAACCATAGTCCTATGTGATCCCCCCTCTCTACCTGCTCCTTAATATTTCCTTTGTTCTAATGAAGGCCAGGTTCTTTGGGGCATCCTGTACTCTGTAAGAGCAATAGCTGAAACTCTTATTTAGTGTCCCAACAATAGCAGAAGAGGCAGCCAGCAGTATGTTTTTGTTTTTAGTGTGAGTATTTGTATTTGTTTCTTGTACAAGGTGAACATTTAGCATTCAGTGCAGTTCAAATAAAAAAAAAAAGAAAGAGAAAAAAAAAAGATAAAGATACGATTCTGAGAACCAGCCGTCTGTACTGACTTCTTGATTTTCATGTAAAACAAGTTTACTCCCTTGTCATGTACATGCACTGGCCGCTTCATTAGGTACACCTGTTTGTTAACTCAGCAAATGTCACAGCAAGAAAATAATCACATTTAGCCATGTACAGTCAAGATTGGCCTTCAAAGGCCCAGCAGAATGCAGAAGAAAGGTGATTTTAGTAAGTATATCAGTAACTACTGATCTACTGGGAATTTCCCCGTACAGTAGAGAAGAAAGGTGAGTGGCACTTCTCTGGGTGAAAGTGCATTAATCGTGCACGGAGCATGCAGGAGAGCATCTCTGAAAGCGCAACGCATCGAACCTTGAAGCAGGTGGCGTACAACAGCAGAAGATCACATGCGTGCTGTGTCTGTCTGATAAGAACAGGAAGCTGAAGCTACAATTTGAAGATTTGTCAAATTGGACAACAGAAGAAGAAGACTGGAAAAATGTTGCCTGGTTTGCATGTCTTGATTTCTGCTGCAACATTTAGATGATAACACCAAATTCCTAGCATGGATCCATCGTTCCTTGTATCAGTGATGGAGTGATGGGATATTTTCTTGGTACTTTTTGATCCTGTTGGTACCAATTTATTATTGAGTAATGCTGCTGACCATCTCAATCCCTTTCTGACCACAGTATACCCATCTTCTGATGGCCGCTTCCAGCAGGATAACACTATATCACAAAGCTCAAGTCTTCTCAGACTTGTTTCTCAATGTGACAATCTGCTGTGCTTGTCACCAGATCTCACTGCGCACCTTTTCAGATGTGGTAGAATGGGAGAGTCACATCATGGATTAGCATGAACGTGCAGCCAACAAATCTGCAGCAACTGTGTGATGCTATTATGTCAATATGATCAAAATCTCAGAGCACTGTTTCTAATACAATTTTAATTGTATGCTATGAAAAATGAAGGTCATTCTGAAGGCAAAAAAAAAGAGTCCACACGGTATTAGCATGGTGTACTTCATAAAGTGATCAGCAAGTGTATATTTCATAATTATGAAAAAAATAAAATAAAATAAAAATCACAATATCAGGGCTTTATCACAAGTGTAAAGCCCCAATACTTGGTGGTGGTGGGGGGGGATGAAGACAATACTGAAATAGAATGAAATCCAGTATTTGGGGCTACAAGAAATAACTTCTTATTGAATGAAAAACAAAAACAATCTCACATTGTTTAGTCCCAGAACAATTAATTTAAAGGGGAGGGGGGGGAAAAAGGTCTGTTTTATAAACCTCTCTTGATCTAGTAATTCTGTAAGTTTTAAACAAAATCCTGCTGAGGGGGTAAAATAACAGACTGTATATAAAAGATGAATGTATGGAACATAAGTGAAAAGTACCTTAAACCTGCAGTTCTTCATATTGCCAGCAGGGGGAAACTCTTTGGCTACAAAAAGAACCCTGCAGGTTAATTAATATTAAAAGTCTTATTCAGAAATTTAAACTTTAATAAAAATTTGTATTTAATTTTGTCTAAACTGTTGTTTTGCACGTTGCAAATTACGGCCCACGTCCGAGTTAAAAATGATGATAAAGCTAATGTGGGGCCCATCTTGTCCTGAATGTGTAAATTTCTTGGCCAAATTAGCCCCACTATCAAGCACCATGATGGCCAAGATGTAAATATTCAATTTGAGCCTTTACAACATAACTTTACTAACCAATAAGTGATGGTACCGAGGCTAAAGCCATCTTTTATATACAGTTTATGACATGCTTCTAAAACTAACTGTGATTTGCACTATAGAGAACTCCATACTGCAGTGATCCTACTTATATTTAGATGATGTGGGTGCACAATGTGAACATTATTGGCTGTGTCCTTGTGTGCGATCAAACATTCCCGATCCACCATCACCCAGTGACTTCAGCTATAACAGGAAGGAAAAGCAATTGTGCGTGTGTGGCGCCACCAATTCAAACAACGAATTTAACAGTGGGAATTAATGAACAATGCAAGTAAGTAAGTAGGTGCAAGTGAGTCAAATTTAATATTAACGCTGTCCACTGAAAGAGGCGGGGCGTTTGGTTTTCTTTCCCCCACCAGCATCATCACCACCCCCCACTCAAACACAAACTGTGTCACACATAGAAATGTCAGTAAGCCTGTATGTCCTCCCCCCCCTCACAGAATTTATGTATAATCTGTGCAAAATAAAATACTTCAATACTTCAACTGAAAAGATCAAAAAAAAAAAAAAGCAACCAAAAAACAGATAAAACGGGGCAGAACAAAGGGTATCGCCTCCGCGTGCCAACTCTTCTGAACAAATAAATAAATTCAACATCAAATGGGGCTTTGTAGAGGGGATCAGCAATCAGGAAAACAAGTGCTCTGTAAACCTTAAACATACACACACACAAACACACACAAAAAAAGGATTATCATCCTCTCAGTTTGAAGCAAAAATTTCTGTCAGGCAATTCTGTATAAATGAACTTTGCCATCTAGTGCAGCTTCAGGATTTCCTTAAATACAGTATATTTTTCCTATATGAGCTATTACTTCTCTCACGGTGAGATAATTACCTTGACAGGAAGCATCAAGATAACCGGTAAGGACTATAGGGAAGCAAACCAAGTGGACTTGCGTTCATGGGAGCAGTAATCAGGATTCTGTTTGATGGTGCTGGTATCTTCTCTACCACAGAGCTCACAGAACACATGCATTATTACAAGTTAAAGATTTACATTTTTGGAGAAACGAGGGAGGGGAAGGGGAAATGTAGATAGCAAGGTAGTCTCTCCCAGACCCTATAATGTCCATTCCACAGATTTAAGAGCTCTTTTCTCTCTTCTCTATTTCCCCCTCACTCACTCATCTTCATCGTCCTCTTCCTCGCCATCGGAGAGAGAGGCACAGGGGTGGATCTGGCGGTATCTGTCCAACCACTTCTCCACCATCTGGGTGACCAAGGGGTGGTTACGGCGGCGAGAGCTCTTCTGCATGGCAGCCAGCATGCCTCCTTCTGTCACGCAGCAGTCCAGCCATTCCCTCAGCAGCTTTTCCTGCTGCTCCTCGTTGCCCATCTGAAGTCACACACAAAACATGCTATTAGTAATGTTCAGATACACGCTTTCACCTCACAATAGCACATGTTAAAAGCTTTCCTGCATCAAGACTAATTTGCAAAAAACAAAGCTAAAACTGGTCTACAGCCAAAATCACTGAAACTAATGCTAAAGATTGTTAATCGTTTCACGAGGCACTGCTACCAAAACTGGAATTTTTATTACAAAGGCCGCTCCACCCAAACTGTAGATTCAGTTTTGATGAAATGCAACAAGTATTAAATACAACTGGTAGATTTTTCATATTTTAAGATTAATGCAGTTTTAAGTACTGTGACTCAGAAATGGTACAAGTGAAAGGCTTATAACATCTGGTAGTGCGCTACATTATTACATGGTCACATGGTGAAACCAGCTTGTCTACAAGTCAAAATACACTGGGTAATTGATCCAACTGCTGTTTCTTCACATCCCAACATCCCACCTACACATAATATTTTAACCTAGCCTTGTAGACTGGGCTTTAAATGCAGTCAGCACAGTTCTTTTTGGAAATTGAGCTGGCATAACCCTGCTAGGCTTTCTAATATTCTTCATTAGCCGCTACAGTGGATCAGCCGCCTCCATAATCACACTATCCCTAGCATCCTCGTCTTTCATGCCACCCCTCTTTTTATCCTCCTTCACTACATCCATGAATCCTCCTTCCCAGTAGCTCAAATCAAACACCATCCCTCCTCTGCACATCTCCAAACCACTATACCTAAGCTGTCCCCGTGATGTACTAAATCTTAATCTTGTCCATCCTGGTCACTCCCAATAAGAAAATAAAAATTAGGAACTTTGTCTCCTCTGCCACCTCCAGCTCCGCCTCCTCTGTCAGTTCCACCCCCCGCCCCCCCAAAAAAGCAGTAAAGTTCAAAAATATTTACAGTAATACCAAAATACACTTCTCAAAATTACCCAATTACCTGCTTTTTAAAGTTAAATTAAAAAAAAAAATTAACAAATCTGCAGTTTTACAGCACAACCACAGTTCCTACCTCTTGTGCAGACAGGAAGTGAATATGCAGCAGCTTCCTTTCGCTGTCCACCAATGGCAGGAAAGTGACTGTGACATCGTCGTCAGTATTGAGGTTGGCGCCCGCACCGCGATTGTCATAGCCGTCGTTCTCCATAGCCACCAGGGCCGAGAAGTGACCCCGTGTGTAGCCCAGGGCAATGGGGCTCTTCCAGCAGAAGCTCTGCTCCCATAACAGAGGCAGGTACACACCTGAAGACACACAAACTAGTCAAAAGGTGCTGCACGCCACAGCACTCGAGGCATCGGCCAGGAACAGGCTCGGCAACTATTCGCTCAAATTGTGTGCAAATGTCAGCCGAGGCCGAGCGCACTCTCAGATTTGACCTGACGCTAGAGGCGGCTGCTTTTTAGCCCGCTGAAAACAACCGGTTCTTTGTGAGCAGAGACGAGCTCCGCGGTGCAGCCTGATGCTCTGCTTTTTCAGAAGTGCACCCGCCCTCACCCCTCTGGCTTCTGACAGGCCAGCTTCCAGCTCCAAAAGCACACCAGCAATCACTAAACACTTAGCGTGCAATGTACACAAAAGCTATGGTTTCAGTCTACACACATAATTACCGTAATTAAGGCAGGCCATCATAACCAGGCTGCACCCTAAACGGAACAGATACACAGCGAGGCATCACAGACCATTTTATTTATTCAAATTATCAGTGCAGCACACCGAATGAGGTCAAGATATTCTGGCAGCCACGCACTCCAGCTGTGCTCACTCTGCATCTCATACACAATAGCCTGTCTGTATGAGTAATTCTAATGGCCTTGTTTCATGTGGTGTTGCTGCAGGTGTTTAAAGCTGGCTCACGCCATGATAAATGTTAGAAATAAACAGCGAAGCTCACCGGGGTCAGTTTATCACAAATTCCACTCA